ACCCCCGTAAGCATCCTTCAGTATCATACATCTTATAACCAAGAACTTAACTAAACCTTCCATCCTTTAATTATTAAACACTGCAATTAAGTGAATAACAGGTTCAAGAGACATACCTTTGCTGAATGCCAGCAACTCATTTTAGCCAAATAACTGCTGTGCCTTTGGTTCATCAGAAAACATACTACAGTGTACACAAAAATCCTTTACTGCTGGAGGAATGGCTTAGATCAGCGATCAGGTTGGGGGAGAAAATCGGGATGACCACCCTGGGCCCCGCACTTTGGGGGGCCCCGCAGACAGCGCCATACAGGCCCCGCCGTGGCTGCCATGTGCCGCTGCTGCCGGCTCCGGCTGGGGGGCTAATGGGGCTCAACCCCCTCCAAACAGCAGGCAGCAGCAGGTAGACCGTGCATGGGCTGCTGCAGTAGAGAGGAGGGAAGGGCACACTCAGCTACCCCGCGCTCGCAGCCAGCACTGCAGCTGGCTCAGCTGCATGCAGGCAAGTAAATTGCTTTTCATCTTCTATATCACCCTGGGCTTGAGGGTGGGGGCAGATAGAGACCCCCACAGTGCTGGGGACAGTGGTATAGGGGAAGGGCGAATCATTCACCCCTGTGCCTGCCCCCTCCCTGCTTCACAATGGGGATTGTCCCATGACCTGGACTGGCTGAAGCCGCATTCACCGTGACTGGGGCCCCAGCTGAGCCAGGTTGTGGGACAGTCGGAACCCAGTGGCTCCTCCGGGGGCATGGGCGGGTGGCTCCCACCACTGCGTGCACCACAGGAAACCAAGGGGGGGAGGGCAGTTCCACCCCCCTCCTGGCTCCCCTGCGCCACATCCCTGGACAAGCCGCCAAGCTCCGATTGTCCCATGACCGGCCTGGCCAGGACCCCAGTCACGAGGAATCGGATCCCAGCTGGCCCGGGTCGTGGGACAATCAGAACCCGGCAGCCACTCCAGAGGTGCAGTGCAAGGGACGGCAGCATCTGCAAGCTGCGCTCTGGTCCATGCCTCACCGCCACTCTTTCAAAAGCGGCACGGCACCATGTGCCTCACTGCCCAGCCCACCCAGCGGCTGGACGCACATGACTGCGCCCACCACTTTCAAAGCAGCGGCAGCAGGGAGGTAGAGAGGCAAAGAGCCCTCTGGCCCAGCAGTGCAGTTGAGGCTGGCCCCGCTCTGGCCCATGGCTCTGGGCCCCCCTGGGTGGTGCACAGCTGGGGCTGGGAAGCAGCCGGAGCTGGTGTGGCATGGTGCCAGGCAATGCCGCTTCCCCCACCATGGCCCTTTCCTCTCTCCCCACAGACTTTTCCATGTGAGGGGCACACACATGTTCAGCCCCCCCCAATTTTTTTCTTCTTCCTCCACCTATGCTGCTCGGCACCCCTGCGCCCCAGGCCCTGCACAGGCTGATATGCCCTGGGCCCTGCACACCCCTAGGGACAGCTCTGGAGATCAGCCACCTTTTGGAAACAGTGGACTGAATTAATACAGCTCAGTCCAAAGGCAGACAGCTGCTTGCAAGTTAGCCACTGCCACCAAATCACAATCAATGGCCCAGCTTTGTGGACTAAATTTAAAAAATAAATTAATTAAATCAAATATTGCTTGGTGGGCCAGATCTGGCCCATAAGCCATAGGTCTACATAAGGTAATATGAATAGGTCTCTTGTCTCTGTAATTATTTTACAGAGTATAACTGAACATTCATTCATTCTGTGGCTGTCATACAAAATGTCAGTGTCAATAGCACTGGTGGAATTGCAGCTAACTGGTAACCTGGTGGCGCCCACAATGAGCCCATTTCTTCCATAGGTCCAAAAGATGGAGACAATAAGCTCAAGGTCATACTGAAGGTCAATGGCAGGGCACAGAACTGAACCTGGGTTTCTCAGCATCTTGACCACAGGCCTACTCTTTCTCCCCAGAAGTGATGAAAGGGAGAGCCAGTCCACAAACAGTCATAAATTCATTTTATTTGGAAATACCGGCAGTCCTCAACTTACAACATTTTGAGTTACAATGTTTCACACTTACAATGTTTATAAATTGATACCCTGTTTCAACTTTACAACACCAGTTTCGACTTACAATGCTTGATCCGATGCAATGCCATGCCAGCGAACAAGTTCGCTGCGTCACTCATCTCCCTGGAGAACATCTGTCCAAACTTCCTTGGACACTTTATTTAAGAAAGCAGACAAGACTCCAGAAAAACCTGCAGCCAAGACTCCTGAGAAGACTCCAGCCAAGAGCCCTTCAAAAAGTCCAGCAAAGTCACCTCAAAGAAGTCCTTCCAAATCAAAATGATTGCTATTTACAATATAAATATACTCACCTATAATTGATCGAGTACAAAATTCTGGGGTATTTTTGGTGAAAATAGGGTATCGGGCCTTGGTTCAGGAACTAATGCACCATTTATAACATTGATTCTTATGAGAAACTTGGTTCCAAGTTACATTTCGATTTAAGATGTGGTTTTCAGGAACTAATTGTGTCGTAAGCCTGAGGACTGCCTGTATTGGATTCTTTACTCTGCTCCAGTATATTATAACACTCAGAGGGCATAGAGTGGCCAAAAAATTGAGTCAAATAGCTTGCCAAGAGTTCTCCTATGAGAGGGAAACTCACTGCTAGAACAAGTCCCTTAGCAGTATGCTCAGCACCTACTCCCTCCCACCCCTGGCACAGGAAACATGCCTGGTGTGGGACTGCCAGGCAAGAAAAAGAGTCAAAGCTCCACTCTGCTACTGTCTGACTGCTACTGGAGTAGGGTCCAGGTGCAGGACAGACTCAAGCTCATCATGGTGATTCAAATGTGCAAAATGGAAAGCACGAGCACTTTGTTTTCCATAAGTGAAGCAGCCAAAGTTGCATAGGACATGGATACTTTTTATGGCTTCAGGAGTCTAGTATGCAGAAACTATCAAGTTTCCATCCAAGCTCTGACATGGACCCTCTCAAAGTTGAAGCAACTCACTTCTCTTTTAACTTTCTGCGTGTGCAAACACCCTTCACCATATTGTGAGAATCAGCATTTTCAAAGTGCCCCAAAATCCATGGATAGAAGGCACCTCTCATAAAGCTGAAAATAAGTGAATTGGTGTCTCAAGCTAGAAAATAATTGTTGTCACTCCATTCATTATACATTATTTTCTAAAAATATAAAGCATAAGGCTTCCACTGAAAATTGCTAGCTGGTTCTTTCAGAGCAGTCTAGGAAGCTTAGACACACATCTTCCATTAAGGGAAGACGCATATGTATACTCACTAGATATGTAAAAAATTAACCATTCTACATTTCCCTCCTCCTTCCCAGAACAAATCCCAGGACATTTTACAGAGTAAATACTTAAGCAAGAGGCACACCCAACACTTTATTATTTATATTACTATAGTCCCTGCACCATGTACCACATGGTCATGTACCACAACTGCACTGTGCTTCATATCATCCAGAAAGAACAAAGAGAAAAAGACAGTACTTGTCCTAAAATGTTACACTTATTGTAAAACAACAGATCCCCCCTACTAAGTTTGAGCTTTGTAAAGTAAAGTGTATCCTGGAGAAGAGCCGGGTCAGAGGTGACTTGGTGACAGCCTATAAGTACATAAGGGGTGTGCATCAGAATCTGGGGGAACACCTGTTCACCAGAGCACCCCAGGGGATGACAAGGTCCAGTGGTCACAAACTCTTTTCAAGGCTGGACATAAGGCTGGACATAAGGAAAAACTTCTTTACTGTCCGAGCCCCCAAGGCCTGGAAAAGACTCCCCCCAGACGTGATGCAAGCACCTACTCTGGACACTTTCAAGAAATATTTGGACGTTTATCTTGCTGGGACCCTTTGGTCCTAGCTGACTTTCTGCCCTTTGGGCAGGGGGCTGGACCCGATGATCTTATGAGGTCCCTTCCAGCCCTAATTTCTATAAAAGTGTTAACATCATCACTGAGGAGTACAGAGAGCAGGTGTCTCACAATTCAATTGCTACCAGCATGGAAGAGGCTCAAGCCTAAATTCTTACCTCTTTTCTGGCTGACTTTGAAGCTTTGTGCTTTTTGTTTCTGAGGCTGCTGTTGCTGTTGTGGTTGTAGTTCCCTGACCTCTCCACTGTATTTGGACTGTGACCTGACTTCTGCTTTTCACAACTGGAGAGAGATTAAAATGTATGTTAGTTCATAAACAGGCAAAAGATCTTTACAGGATGCAACAGATTTCCCCGATACCTACTTGAATGCACTGGTGGTCAAACAATATTTGATATTTTTGTTCAAGCCCTAACTCCAGGAATGAAGCAAGTTTAGAAAAGTCAGAAGTTTTGTTGGTTTGTTTTATATTAAGGTTGCTATCCCTCGAAGATGCAGAGAAAAGCTTGAAGACATAACCCCAAAACACCCTACAGGTTCAAAACTCAAAACTAGGAAGTAATTTTATAAATATATATAAAATAAATTATACAGTCCCATCTTTAAGTCAAGCTCATGATTTCTGAATAGTTGAGGATACTGCAACAGAGCCAAGGAAAACGAAGCACTTGGGCAGTGTTTGGGCATGTCTAGCGCATGCTGTATTGCTCAGCATACACATACCGGCAGACTGGAAGCACAATGGCAGGGCTAAGTGAGGAAATTCGATATACTTACACTCATAAATACTCTAAAGACAGACAACTGCAGTCAGCTCAGCTGTCATGCTACCACCTTTCACAAGCCTTTATTCACAAAACCTTAGTCTTAAATCTGGTGTGGGTTATCTAAGAATCAAACCTCAAGTTTCTGGGCTTTAAACCCATTTGCTCTGATGCTGCCAACTTGTTCTTTAGCCTGACTCAGGGCTGCAGTATACTGCCCCAGCAATTTCACAGAATTGATTCAGGGCCAATTCAACCAGGGATCTCTAGTTTTTTGTAGGCAGCAGCCATCTTGTCTTAATATGTGCACTAGCTCTTTCCCCATTGCTCCCTGGACTCTAGTTTCTGCCAGAATATGGCAAAAAACCCAAAAGCAGAGGGGGATAAGAAAGACTGTTGAGTGTTGATAACAATGCATTTCAAACAGAGCATCTGCTTTCCCGCCAAAGGCCGAGGGAATCACCTTACTGACAGTTCCAAGGTTTCTAGTTATTAAGTCTAACTTCTAAGAGCAAAACATTTCTAAGCAACTGACAACAATGAATAGTCTGTCACCTTGGACAATTCACAGCCTCTCAGTCTCAGGTTCCCCATCCATCTTTTTTGGGCAATATTTCCCAACCACCTCATGGGAGTTCTGAGAATTCACACTGATAAATCATTTTGGCTACCTGCAGCAATACCCGAATAAGTGTAAACCAGCTAGGTCAGGTACCAGAAGCCGTTCTGCCCCTGTAGCACAGATATCTACATAGGCTAATTTACTGTGCTGAGAAGCTAGCTTGGGTACTTCTACCCTCCCCTACCCTCCCTCTGCAGCATAGACAGACTGCTAGCAATCTTCTGATAGAGGTAAGAAGCATCCTCAAGATCCGTTGAAATCAATAGCTAATTGAGGTAGAGGACACCTTCTGGGACCATGCATGTGTACATGGATTATTACTGGTTTAAGTATTTATAGCACAATATATTCATAGTGGTTTAGAAAGGAGCAGTCTATGGTATTTGTGCCAACTTAAGCATTTGTGTTCTCTGATTTTTTTTCTTCCTTCTCCTAAACTTTTAAGGTTACTAAATTTATTGAAGTCTTGATACAGGAGAGAGTTACCACAATAAACACCAAATGCAAAAATGAAGGTTTTAACTGCAATATTAATTCACCTACATTATAAGTATGTTATTTTCCATTTTACATCTTAAAATGGGTAGATTATACACAATTGTGTGTGTATCATGCAGGATAGATCCTAAAATTCATAAAATATCCAATGCTACTAATGGAATCTTATTTTACATTTCCTGATTCTTTTGGTGGTTTGAAATGTGCAAACTTAATCTTAACAAAAGGTGCTTCTCCCCACCACCGTTTGGTTTCAGGACCATCAAAAACATGCTATCCCACACTGCTAAGGCCCAATTCTGTCATTTTACGAATGTGTAATTACTACAGATTTCTGTGCGTCTTCTAAGGCTTATATGACACGGCTCCATAAAAGTGTTGCCATACTACATTACTTCATTATCACGTATAAACTTTTGCTAATAATGCACTGCAGGGCAAAAATAAGTCCTTATTCCCAAGAGTACATGCAATAATTACACATTTGAAATCACAGCCTATCGTAGATTTACTTTACAGAGAAAGACCATTAAAACAAATTATGTATGTCATTCATATTTTCTTCAGTGTCCAAAGTTATCTGCATAGCAAATAGGCTTAATTTTACAGTAGTCACATCCTTAGCAGATAATTACCTAGTTCTCATTACATTAGTGTAGACTTTTACTTAACTTTTTTTTAAGTTACTACTACATGAATTGATATCTGCCATTGAAACAGAGAAGAGATTACCAACTAATCACATGCAGTAAGTGGAGTGGTCTCAAAAGGCTGAATTCTCACTGTTAACCGGTAGAATAGTCTAAGTTAAACTCTCTTCTGTCAAAGCTGGAAGAGAAGAAGATGCAAATTACTGAGCTGAAGTCTATGACGATGGAGGAGCCAGACAGTTAACTAATTTATCTTTCCTTTTGTCAAACAAAATGTTGGCCTCATTATGGATGAACTGGATGAAATTCTACAAACCATTATACAGGAGGGTAGAATAGATCTTAAGGTCCCTTCTGACCTATAAAAAGTTTAGGGGGGTTCTTCCCTTCCGTGAAACCCATTTAGCTCATCTCCTCAGCAGAGATGCTGCACTTTGTACCTTGCCTATGTAAGTTCAACTACAAACCGCTGGTTCTCAACCTTGTCAGATCTGAGGCATCCCTTGTTAAGTTTAACGCACTCCTCAAGAAGGCCAGCTCTTAAGTTTTCACTTGTTTTTTTGCCTACAGATAATAATAAAGCAGTTTTCTGTTGCAAAGAGCTCAGAAAGAGCAAAAGAGGTCAGAATGTTTTTACCATTATAGATTCCTATTTACCATAACACCCTAGGTGAGAATCAGGGGCTCTAACCTGTCTACTGAATATTCTGTAATGTGGACCATACCGATCTCAACCTACACGGGCTATCATCTTGCAAATGAGAAATCATCTCTCTTCCTTCCAATAACCAGGAACTGCCACAAGAGCTGGACTACTCCAACTAATCATTCACCCCCAGATCGAACTGCAAAGCAGCTTAGTGATAAGGACATAGAGGGCCCATCATGCCATACTAAGAGAGCCCAAGCTGGATGATCAGAGTACATCCCATCTCTTTTCACTGTTTAGTTTGAGCTGAGAACACCTGGCATTTTTCATTGACTCCTAGTAAGATTAATCATTTTTAAACCAAATTCCTATTTGCCCAAAGGCACTTGGACTGATTGCATTTAAAAGTCTCTCTGAACAATAACAGATAAGATAGCATACAGTAACAAAAAATACTAGTACAGCAACTCAAGCACATGAGACCCTACATCTGTAGATCTAGGATTTCCCTGAGGAGGAGAGTAGCCAAGGAAGTTGTGCAGGGAGGATCTGTCTTTCTGAGTTTTTTTAAGTTAGTAAAGTGTTATCATGCAGAGTCACAGACCCTACCTGCAGACTCTGAGACATGCTTCAAAATTATGTATTGGACATGCACATTGAGAACTGCTATTTTATTAACTGCAGTATGTTTTAAATAATTGTTATTTGAATGCCTGGGTTTTTAAAACCTATTTTTGACTGAAATGTCATGTTGGATGGCTGATCCATTAAAAAAAAAAAAACTTGATCAACTGACTGGTCAAATATTGTCAAGTATTTTAGAACAAGTGCTTTAAGCATAATGTGTTATAACCGTAAAGAGAAAGACTTTAATCTTCAATAGGTTAGATACTTATGCTAATCACAAAAAACAACTTATCTGTTATTGTGCAAGTTAAATACAAAAAAACCCAACTGGAATGAATTATTACTACTAACAATGTCATGTGACTGTAAATGGGAATGATATCCAAGACATTTTTCTCCTTGGCTTTTATCCCAGAACCCCAGCTTTTCTATGCTGTTCGTTTTGGTCCCTCCTTTAGCACCGTGGTTCTCGCTGCCCTGCACGGCTTCAGGGGCAGGAAGAGGACGTGGGAAGAGCCCTAGAGAGGGGAGCAGGGCAGGGAGCAGCTACTCCTAAATGCAGGCCATGTAGCCTGGCTCCTGCAGGACAAGAAGCTCTCACCCCTGCCCTTCCTAACATAAGATGACACCCTTGTCCGACATAAATCATAGGCCACTACCTTCCGAAGGGCATTCTTGGTCTCATGGGCTCAATGACAGCAGGCAGTTACCAGCCTGCCACCCTGGGCAAAGCAAACAACATGCTCAAACACACCCCAAATTGCCTCCCAGGGCTGCAAAGGGCTCAAGCACCCCTTCAAAAAACGCCTCCCAGGGCCGATGTCCGTGGTCCCCAGTAACTCTGGCCGTGATCAAGGAGATGAACCGGACAGGGCGGGTGGCGGGTGAGCTGGGGCTCGTCAAGGCTTGCGGCGCAGGGGCAGCGGAGGTCGCTCGAGCCCGCGGGCGAGGCGCGGGCAGGAGCGCTGTGCCCCGCGCGCGCTAACGACAGGTGCGAGTGCGCGGGCACCAGCCCACGGATCCGCGCGGACACA